TCTCTCTCTCTCTCTCTCTCTCTCTCTCTCTCTCTCACTCTCTCTCTGTCTCTTATTGTCACTCATTGTCTCTCTCCTCTTTAAGAGCATTGTTAGGTACAGCTTTGATCATATTGATATTCTTGTATGTTTGTGCTGGGTGTTGTGTGTGTTTGTGTGTGAGTGTTTGTGTGTGAGTGTTTGTGTGTGAGTGTTTGTGTGTGTTTGAGTGTTTGTGTGTGAGTGTTGTGTGTGAGTGTTTGTGTGTGTTGTTTTGTGTGTGAGTGTTGTGTGTGTGTGTGAGTGTTTGTGTGAGTGTTTGTGTGTGTGTGTTTGTGTGTGAGTGTTTGGTGTGAGTGTTTGAGTGTGTGTGAGTGTTTGTGTGTGTGTGTTGTGTGTGAGTGTTTGTGTGTGAGTGTGTGTGTGAGTGTTGTGTGTGAGTGTTTGTGTGTGAGTGTTTGTGTGAGTGTTTGTGTGTGAGTGTTTGTGTGTGTGAGTGTTGTGTGTGTGAGTGTTTGTGTGTGTGTTTGTGTGTGAGTGTTTGTGTGTGAGTGTTTGTGTGTGAGTGTTTGTGTGTGAGTGTTTGTGTGTGAGTGTTTGTGTGTGAGTGTTTGTGTGTGTGTGTTTGTGTGTGAGTGTGTGTGTGTGAGTGTTTGTGTGTGAGTGCTTGTGTGTGTGTGTGTGAGTGTTTGTGTGTGAGTGTTGTGTGTGAGTGTTTGTGTGTGTGTTGTGTGTGAGTGTTGTGTGTGTGAGTGTTTGTTGTGTGTGAGTGTTTGTGTGTGAGTGTTTGTGTGTGAGTGCTTGTGTGTGAGTGTTTGTGTGTGAGTGTTTGTGTGTGAGTGTTTGTGTGTGAGTGTTTGTGTGTGAGTGTTTGTGTGTGAGTGTTTGTGTGTGAGTGTTTGTGTGTGAGTGTTTGTGTGTGAGTGTTTGTGTGTGTGTGTGTGTGTGTGTGTGTGTGTACTCACCTAGTTGTACTCACCTAGTTGTGTTTGCGGGGGTTGAGCTCTGGCTCTTTGGTCCCGTCTCTCAACTGTCAATCAACAGGTGTACAGATTCCTGAGCCTATCGGGCTCTGTCATATCTACACTTGAAACTGTGTATGGAGTCAGCCTCCACCACATCACTTCCTAATGCATTCTACTTGTCAACCACTCTGACACTAAAAAAGTTCTTTCTAATATCTCTGTGGCTCATTTGGGCACTCAGTTTCCACCTGTGTCCCCTTGTGCGTGTTCCCCTTGTGTTAAATAGCCTGTCTTTATCTACCCTATCAATTCCCTTCAGAATCTTGAATGTGGTGATCATGTCCCCCCTAACTCTTCTGTCTTCCAGCGAAGTGAGGTTTAATTCCCGTAGTCTCTCCTCGTAGCTGATACCTCTCAGCTCGGGTCCTTGTCTGGTGGCAAACCTTTGAACCTTTTCCAGTTTAGTTTTATCCTTGATTAGATATGGAATCCATGCTGGGGCTGCATACTCCAGGATTGGCCTGACATATGTGGTATACAATGTTCTGAATGATTCTTTACACAAGTTTCTGAATGCCGTTCGTATATTGGCCAGCCTGGCATATGCCGCTGATGTTATCCGCTTGATATGTGCTGTAGGAGACAGGCCTGGTGTGATATCAACCCCCAAGTCTTTTTCCTTCTCTGACTCCTGAAGAATTTCCTCTCTCAGATGATACCTTGTATCTGGCCTCCTGCTCCCTACACCTATCTTCATTATATTACATTTGGTTGGGTTAAACTCTAACAACCATTTGTTCGACCATTCCTTCAGCTTGTCTAGGTCTTCTTGAAGCCTCAAACAGTCCTCCTCTGTTTTAATCCTTCTCATAATTTTAGCATTGTCCGCAAACATTGAGAGAAATGAATCGATACCCTCCGGGAGATCATTTACATATATCAGAAACAAGATAGGACCGAGTACAGAGCCCTGTGGGACTCCACTGGTGACTTCACGCCAATCGGAGGTCTCACCCCTCACCGTAACTCTCTGCTTCCTATTGCTTAGGTACTCCCTTATCCACTGGAGCACCTTACCAGCTACACCTGCCTGTCTCTCCAGCTTATGTACCAGCCTCTTATGTGGTACTGTGTCAAAGGCTTTCCGACAATCCAAGAAAATGCAGTCCGCCCAGCCCTCTCTTTCTTGCTTAATCTTTGTCACCTGATCGTAGAATTCTATCAAGCCTGTAAGGCAAGATTTACCCTCCCTGAACCCATATTGGCGATTTGTCACGAAGTCCCTTCTCTCCAGATGTGTTACCAGGTTTTTTCTCACGATCTTCTCCATCACCTTGCATGGTATACAAGTCAAGGACACTGGCCTGTAGTTCAGTGCCTCTTGCCTGTCGCCCTTTTTGTATATTGGGACCACATTCGCCGTCTTCCATATTTCTGGTAGGTCTCCCGTCTCCAGTGACTTACTATACACTATGGAGAGTGGCAAGCAAAGTGCCTCTGCACACTCAGTACCCATGGTGAGATCCCATCTGGACCAACAACCTTTCTAACATCCAGATCCAGCAGGTGTCTCTTGACCTCCTCTCTCGTAATTTCGAACTCTTCCAAGGCCACCTGGTTTACATCCCTTTCTCCTAGCACAGTGACCTCACCTTGTTCTATTGTGAAGACCTGGAACCTCTTGTTGAGTTCTTCACACACCTCTCTGTCATTCTCTGTATAACTGTCCCTGCCTGTTGTGTGTGAGAGCTTGTATGTGAGAGCTTGCGTGTGAGAGCTTGCGTGTGAGTGCTTACGTGTACTTGCGTGCACACGCGTGTGACCGCACACAAATCGTGTGCCATTTGTCACCACACTTTCTACCCGTTTTCTCTCACCACACTTCCTACCCGTTTTCTCTCACAACACTTCCTTCCCGTTTTCTCTCAACTCACTTCCTGCCCATTTTCTCTCACCTCAGTTCCTACCCATTTTCTATGTACCTCTCACAGGCAAATATTTTTCACAAATATATTTCTTTACATTTTTTTATAAGCCCACATTTTCAATCAAATGTATTTAATTTTATTTATAACAATAAATAATGGAATTTAATAGTTTAATAATTGGGAGAAATAATAGATATTTAATCGTGATTGAATAGACAAATTATTTAAAACAAAATAGATAAATATATTTATTCTTTGGAAGCTTTTGGGAATAAATAGATTGTTGCTATTAGTGAAATAGATATAAAAGCAATATCAGGAATTGTTATTAAATGGTTTATGTTATAAAATACTGAGACATATTTTTAAAATGTTGTTTTCTGTCTGTCTGTCTGTCTGTCTGTCTGTTCTGTCTGTCTGTCTGTCTGTCTGTCTGTCTGTCTGTCTGTCTGTCTGTCTGTCTAAACACCTTAGACAGAACAAAGAGGGATTATAATAATATTTACGGTTTGTAGTTTTCAAAGTATACTAAAGCCGAAGTATACTAAATATGGCGCTCGTATGTAAAGTATGGCACTCGTCCGTATGTGGCACGAGGGCCACATATGTGTGTCACATATGGACGAGTGCTACATATGAACGAGTGCCACATATGGACGAGTGCCACATATGGACGAGTACCACATATGAACGAGTGCCACATATGAACGAGTGCCACATATGGACGAGTGCCACATATGAACGAGTGCCACATATGAACGAGTGCCAGGTGTGTGCCACATATGAACGAGTGCCAGGTGTGCCACATATGAACGAGTGCCAGGTGTGTGCCACATATGTACGAGTGCCAGGTGTGCCACATATGAACGAGTGCCACATATGGAGGAGTGCCAGGTGTGTGACACATGAACGAGTGCCAGGTGTGTGCCACATATGGAGGAGTGCCAGGTGTGTGCCAAATATGCAGGAGTGCCAGGTGTGTGCCACATATGCAGGAGTGCCAGGTGTGTGCCACATATGCAGGAGTGTCAGGTGTGTGTGCCACATATGGAGGAGTGCCAGGTGTGTGCCACATATGCAGGAGTGCCAGGTGTGTGCCACATATGCAGGAGTGCCAGGTGTGTGCCACATATGCAGGAGTGCCAGGTGTGAGCCACATATGCAGGAGTGCCAGGTGTGTGCCACATATGGAGGAGTGCCAGGTGTGTGCCACATATGCAGGAGTGCCAGGTGTGTGCCACATATGCAGGAGTGTCAGGTGTGTGTGCCACATATGGAGGAGTGCCAGGTGTGTGCCACATATGCAGGAGTGTCAGGTGTGTGTGCCACATATGGAGGAGTGCCAGGTGTGTGCCACATATAGAGGAGTGCCAGGTGTGTGCCACATATGGAGGAGTGCCAGGTGTGTGCCACATATGGAGGAGTGCCAGGTGTGTGCCACATATGGAGGAGTGCCAGGTGTGTGCCACATATGGAGGAGTGCCAGGTGTGTGCCACATATGGAGGAGTGCCAGGTGTGTGCCACATATAGAGGAGTGCCAGGTGTGTGCCACATATGGAGGAGTGCCAGGTGTGTGCCACATATGGAGGAGTGCCAGGTGTGTGCCACATATGGAGGAGTGCCAGGAGCATCGCTGGAGCCTCGAACAAGTTGCCTGAAAATCATGGAAATTTATGCAAAATTTTACGAAAAACCGAAACTTTCACTAAATTATGTGTGAAGACAAAGGAATTTTTTTGTATTTTTTTTTAACAAAATATTGTATATTGGTGGACGTTGGTCACCCGTTTATATATTGGTGGCGCTCCGGCAACCAAAGCCAGCAGGTGGATGGGTGTCAATACCGGGCGGGTTCGATGCTTGTATATGCCAGCAACATTCCCTCTGTGTTTCACTTACCTCCCTCTCGATATTTGTGTATAAACATATCTCTTGTATTGCGTTGGTCTGTCAGTCTATCGTAAGCTCAAGGTGAATAATGAGATAAATTTGCATATCCTGCTTCGGAGGTCCCCGTCCCAGCTTCGGAGGTCCCCGTCCCAGCTTCGGAGGTCCCCGGCCCATTCCATCTGGTTTTCCGTTCCAGAACGCGGCCCCAATTCCATCCCATGTCGCGGCCATCTCCGGCTAATCGAATTTTCTACAGGAAGCCATTTCCTTCCCTTGTCTCTTGCTGGAGACTTCGCGTTCTGTCTCTTGCTGGAGACTTCGCGTTGTGTCTCTTGCTGGAGACTTCGCGTTGTGTCTCTTGCTGGAGGAATTCGCGTTGGGTCTCTTGTTGGAGACTTCGCGTGGTGTCTCTTGCTGGAGACTTCGCGTTGGGTCTCTTGTTGGAGACTTCGCGTTGGGTCTCTTGCTGGAGACTTCGCGTTGGGTCTCTTGTTGGAGACTTCGCGTTGGGTCTCTTGCTGGAGACTTCGTGTTGGGTCTCTTGCTGGAGACTTCGCGTTGGGTCTCTTGCTGGAGACTTCGCGTTGGGTCTCTTGCTGGAGACTTCGCGTTGGGTCTCTTGCTGGAGACTTCGCATTGGGTCTCTTGCTGGAGACTTCGCGTTGGGTCTCTTGCTGGAGACTTCGCGTTGGGTCTCTTGCTGGAGACTTCGCGTTGTGTCTCTTGCTGGAGACTTCGCGTTGGGTCTCTTGCTGGAGACTTCGCGTTGGGTCTCTTGCTGGAGACTTCGTGTTGGGTCTCTTGCTGGAGACTTCGCGTTGGGTCTCTTGCTGGAGACTTCGCGTTGGGTCTCTTGCTGGAGACTTCGCGTTGTGTCTCTTGCTGGAGACTTCGCGTTGTGTCTCTTGCTGGAGACTTCGCGTTGTGTCTCTTGCTGGAGACTTCGCGTTGTGTCTCTTGCTGGAGACTTCGCGTTGTGTCTCTTGCTGGAGACTTCGCGTTGTGTCTCTTGCTGGAGACTTCGCGTTGTGTCTCTTGCTGGAGACTTCGCATTGGGTCTCTTGCTGGAGACTTCGCGTTGGGTCTCTTGCTGGAGACTTCGCGTTGTGTCTCTTGCTGGAGACTTCGCGTTGTGTCTCTTGCTGGAGACTTCGCGTTGTGTCTCTTGCTGGAGACTTCGCATTGGGTCTCTTGCTGGAGACTTCGCATTGGGTCTCTTGCTGGAGACTTCGCGTTGTGTCTCTTGCTGGAGACTTCGCGTTGTGTCTCTTGCTGGAGACTTCGCATTGGGTCTCTTGCTGGAGACTTCGCATTGGGTCTCTTGCTGGAGACTTCGCGTTGTGTCTCTTGCTGGAGAGTGGGATTCGTCTTCGTCTCTCTTCCTGGTGTCCTTAGATCGTCTCTAACTAAAGGGAGAGTAGGAGGAGGAGGAGGAGGAGAGAGAGAGAGAGAGAGAGAGGAGATGGGGGAAAGGGGGAATGTTCGAGGGGAGAGAGAAAGGTGGAGAGGGTAGAAGAGATTTGGCACAAAAGAGGGAGAGGAAGAGAGAGGGGTGTTGGGGGAGAATGGTGGAAAAGTGGAGATAGGGAGAGGGAAAGAGAGAGGAGAGTAGTAGAGATGGGGAAGGGGGGGGTGTTAGACCCTTACACAGCTAGGTATCCCATACAGTAATCTATATCTGTCAAACAGAGCGTCTGTCTGTCTGTCAGTTCAGAGTATGAGGTGTTTGGGGCCGAGACTCAACAAACCTCCCAGGATGACTGACAGACAGGCACATGGCAGTGTCATGGCCCAGTTGGGGTTGACCCCCAATGCCACCCCTTTAAGAAATATCGGAATCTATAGCAACTTCCTGCCATTGTCATGGTCTGAAATTAGGGATTTGTTTTCCATAGAGTTTTAGTGTTTTTTCAATGCTGCTTAATTCTACATTCTCTGAGGGAGAGAGGAGGGGAAGGGAAGGAGAGAAGAAAGGTGGAATGTAGAGGTTAGTTGAAGGAGAGAGGGGGGGATAGGGGAGAGAGAGGGAAGGGGCGACCCGGGCACAGCCGGGTACCTTCGTCAAAAGAAAAAAAAACAAAGACATCTTATTCCCGTTCTATAACGACATCAATTTATTTGTATTCCTCAGTCTAGAACTTTCCCAGTTTGTTAACGGCCATTTAGGTACACGTGCTCCAAGTTACAGTGGCTGGGCGAGACCTTCTCCAAGAATACAAGGAGAGAGACTCTCCATTTGTGTATTGTGTTCGTGGTTACAGGTCCTCCCACCAGGGAGCAGCACCTTACCTAGGTAGAGGGGGGAGGGGGAGGTCCTTCCTAATAAAGTACCAACTTCATGTTGGTTACTTTTTTTTTTTACTGGAGGAGCTTTGAGCGTAGCTGGTGAAGTCTGTCTTCTAGTCTCTAAGGATAGGAGACAGACTAAGTGATCCATCTGCCAGGGAGTGTTGTAAGGACTACAGGCTCATGTTTCTCTTGCGTTTGACACGGTTGGGAGTCGAGTCGCGATTGTAATCTTCGCACATACACGAATGATGTGTGTTTACAATTATAGAGCTCAATTGATCAGTCACTCCATTGTGCTTATTTGCTGTGTGTGTACGTAATTACATATATATATATATATATATATATATATATATATATATATATATATATATATATATATATATATATATATATATATATATTCAACCTTGAGCTCAGCTGTGTATATAAAGTATATGATCAGCTTATTTGATTGGGTGACATCATGCAGGGGAGAGAGACGGTTAGGCATACAGCATTTTTCTTTATTGTCAGAAAGCTTTTAACACTGTTCCTCACATGGGACTCCTATACGAACCATGGAGAAGGAACTACCCACGTGGTGTGAGGGCCGGACGCAGCCTCCTCAGCTACCCCCGCCCCCCCCACAATAAGCCCAAGGTGTGATGTTTGATACGTCCAATCATCTGAATCAGGAGTCGCCAAGCATTTGTTACAATCACTTGCGAAATCTCTACATCTTTGAACAAATCCACAAAGGGCCGTGACGAGGTTTATGTTTCGGGGAGACAGCAGGATCCGTGGTAGGTCCAGTTGATTTCCCGGTTGCAATCCTTTTTACCATGTCGTAGCTCAGTCGATTAAGCCAGCGTCTGGGATGCTCTCGGACGTAGGTTCGGACCCTGGTCACGGAGGGAGCCGGTCGGCCGAGCGGACAGCACGCTGGACTTGTGATCCTGTGGTCCCGGGTTCGATCCCGGGCGCCGGCGAGAAACAATGGGCAGAGTTTCTTTCACCCTATGCCCCTGTTACCTAGCAGTAAAATAGGTACCTGGGTGTTAGTCAGCTGTCACGGGCTGCTTCCTGGGGGGTGGAGGCCTGGTCGAGGACCGGGCCGCGGGGACACTAAAGCCCCGAAATCATCTCAAGATAACCTCAAGATAACGGCCCTTGGGGACTTGTTCATGTGATGCATCACCCTATTGTCATTTCTGTCTACTCTACATCTCTCCCCTAATCATGGCGGCTTTGTTTACATATAGTAAACAGTTCATGAGTTTACAAACTTTACAACCCAAGGTTATGATTGTTATATACAATCTTGTAGAGTGTCGGAGCTTATATATTGTTTAATTTTCAAAACCCCTATAAATGAGAAAAGATGTGAAGGTTTCGTAAGGTTTGGAAGCCACTTGCTCTCTGAAACCTTACCTAATATGAAAACTGAGACTTAAGAGCTTCTTAGATTAACTTCTTGAGTATAATAATAACACGTAATTGTCTCCATGAAGAGGCTTAGGTACTCAAGCTGAGCATCTCAGCTCCTCCACACTAGTGTAGAGCTCCCACACTATAGTGTAGAGCTCCCACACTATAGTGTAGAGCTCCTCCACACACTAGTGTAGAGCTCCCACACTATAGTGTAGAGCTCCTCCACACACTAGTGTAGAGCTCCCACACTATAGTGTAGAGCTCCCACACTATAGTGTAGAGCTCCCACACTATAGTGTAGAGCTCCCACACTGTAGTGTAGAGCTCCCACACTATAGTGTAGAGCTCCCACACTATAGTGTAGAGCTCCTCTACACTATAGTGTAGAGCTCCTCCACACACTAGTGTATAGAGCCCGGACCAACTCTAAGTCACGGTGGCTCTAATTTGCATACCTTGATTATCATTGTAGAAGCAATAAGTGAAGAGGAATTCACACGTTACTGATGTAATATACTGTATTGGTACACTGCAGGCAAGAATACAGTATAATACACTCCAGTGGTATACTGCACGGAGGAATACATCACATTAAAAGCAGCATTAAGACTGACTACACTTGAGAGCGAGAGACTTAAACATACCACTCAAAAGTCTGAATATATTCGAACACATGAATTGGTTCCACGGTAAAAATTGTTCATTGTATTCCCTGGAGCTAAGTGATTAGTGCATTATAGTCA